GAATCTCTTTCAAATTACATCAGTCCTTCTTAGCTTACTGCTAATCTGTTTGTATGCTTCATACCTCATATTGATTGTTTTTGAGGTTTTTAGTACACAGTGGTTTATTAAAAGGTAATCATATTATGTAGAGTTTTAGAATATAAGACATTATATGTCACTATATGTTCCTTATTATTACTTGAAATTAGGACCACTTTCCAGGACCACTTTTCTAGTTAGGTTATATCTGCATCTGATGCAAGCATGCCATGTTGTCAGTTAACACAGACATTTGTCTGCTCTGAAAAATAAATTGAGCAGGGACAATTAGGGCCAGAAACTGAAAGCCTAATTAAAATAGATTTATGAAATAGCTGATTCACTTGAGTATACAAATGGGTTTGGGAATTTGCCATGATTCAGACATGGAATCTTCCTTATATGGAATTGTATCTTTGTATCCAGCTGAATGAATGATTTAGAACCCAAAGATTTTTGTTTTTTTCTTTTTTTCTTTTCATAATGAATGGCTTTCTTTTAGAAATTTGTACAGTGTATTTTAATCACATTCACATCCCACTCCTCCCTCTTAACTCCTCCCAGATCCATCCCCACTTTCCCATCTACCTCCTCCCAAACCTCATCCTCCCTTCCTTCCTCCCTCCCTCCCTCCCTCCCTTCCTTCCTTCCTTTCCCCTTCTCTCTCTTTCTTTCTTCACACCCTACTGTGTTCAGTTTGGGATACCCACATGCTCATGGATGAGGCCAGCTGCTGGAGTATGGTTGGTCTACCAGGGTCCACACTGTTAAGGAAAACTGATTTTCTCTCTCTCTCTTGGAAGCTATTGGTTGCCAATAACTCCTGAGTTAGGGGTGGGAGCTTGTGAGCACAACGTTGATTGGCTTGGTTTTGTACAGATCTTATCCAGACAACCATAGCTACTGGGAGGTCATAGCTACACCAGCAAACTCCAGAGTTTTTATTGTCAGGCAAAAAAAATGTTCAGAGCAAAGGTACAACGTATCATTTTGTTAACTATAAAAGTATTACAATGAAGTAGACAAAATCCATTGATTGTAAAACTTGTTTTCTGGAGTCAGTATTAAAAATCTTTCATATGCAGTTGTTTGAGAGGGGAGTTCAGACCCTTGATTGTTAAAGCACTAAGACTGTGATGTTAGACATTAGGTTAAGTTCACACTTGAGTGTTTGAATCAGAAACGTAGGTTTACAGGCAATGGATACAGCATAGTATTTAGATAGCATGTGTAACAAATGGTTGAGTCTAATATGGGAAGAAGTTGAACACTCTTCTTTAGGACCATAGGCTGCATACTAGTTCTGTCCACATGGAACATTCCTGTAGAATTATGAAGATTTTAGAGGAGGGGAGTATAAAATTGTCTCAGATTAGTAGTGTTAATGCTTTAAGGTTGGAGTTGTAGCTCAGTTAGTAGAATGTTTGCCTAGCATGTGAGAAACCCCAGCATCACATAAGTGGAAGTGTGGCACACAAATGTCATCCAGCCTTCTAAAGGGGAAGACAGATCAATTCCTCATCTTCTGTGTTTCCAGTTCAAAGCCAGTTAGGGCTACTCGGGACCATGTCTCAAAAATAAAAACCAAAAAACCTCTTTTTTTCCTGAAGCCTTTGTCCATAGATTCACAAATTTATACTAATTGTGAACCTTTTTTGTTTTGCCTTTTAAGGCTACAAAATTACTAAACTCCTGAATCCAGAACTTGAGTGCTTTAGCACTCCCTCCTCATGGGTAACAGTTCTATTTTCTGTCTGTTCTAAAATCTTCCTTTAATCTATTTAGCAAAGGAAAACTAATTCCTTAAACTTATGAGAAAAAAACTTAACTGTAAATATTTTGTCTTTCATGATGTTTTAGCCTCACGTTATAGCTTGTGTTACTGTGTTTTTCTAGTCTTGTGTCCTTGGTGAGACTTGAAGAGATGGATTTCCAGGGTAATATATGCCTTTTATAATTGTGGGCAAATGTAGTGACCTTTCTGTATTTCTTATATTTCCATAAGCTCAGTGAAGTTAGTGGTGATGGAGGTAACCTCTCTGGAACCAGCAGTCTATGTGTTATATTGAAAATGAGCTTTTAATAGAGGCTTTTTGGTAGTTCCAGAGATGATTAAAATCATTTTTCTGGAATTTCTGTTTTAAGGTATTATATTGGCACAATAGTTTAGCCAGAAGTTAAAAAGACTATTGATGGTCTTTCACATCTTTTTCAGTTGTATATTTGTCCTAACCCCAACTAGGATTTGCGCCTGGTGTGTCCATCTAGAATCTACTAATAATGTTTGCATATAGTTAGAAAACTGTATTCCTTGAAGGGTTTTTGTTTTGTTTTGTTTTGTTTTGTTGTTTGGTTTTACCTCTTAGCTATGGGAAAGCAGGGTGATGGTTTTGACTCATACCTAGGTTCAAACCAGTTATTACAGGCTTCATTATGTGTATTTATTGAGGATTTATAACCTTTTAAGTCCTTGGGAGTCCTGTTGTTAGAGATCATTGAATTCAAACTTTAAAACTTAATATATTTTCACTAAACTAAGATGTTCAAGGCAAGTATAACCATATCAACCTAAATTTATTTTAACATTTGATCCAAGATGGAGACTGGGATAGGAGAATAGCTTTAGAGATTTTATAATCATTTTAGTAGCACATTCTACAGAAACCTACCATGCTGCGAACCTTCCAGAATGAACAACCATTCATAAAGGTAAATTTGTGCTGCCATCTAAAAAATATGGAATGGCTTTAGAAATACAAGTTTGTTTCTAGTTTACTAAATAGCATGCTTGATTGGATGTAGTGACTTTCTTACTGTATGTATTATTGTCTGTGTCACTCTAACGTTTGTCTCAGTACAGTGGCATATCAGGTAGAATTCATCACCATACTGTAGCTTACAGATTTAAGTCTGATGAGTGTCGTGTTTGTCTTAATAAAATATTTTATTGAGATAACATTCTTATAATCCCACCTACTTTGGAGGCCAGTGTAGGCAGATTGCAGACTTGAGGTTAGCCTCAAAAGTTTAGCAAGAGCCTGTCCAAAACATAATCACATGCACGAAGAAAAAAACAAAGACACACCATCCCCCTATGTGCATATACACACACATATATACTATACACACACATCCCCCTACAAAACACTATACGCATATACTCATTAATACACACACAAATCCAAAAAACACACATGCACACATATGTACATACAAACTGAACCCCCACACACACCAAAAAAACCCCTCAAAATCCAAACATACATACATACACACAATTAAACATTCTCTATTTGAGAGGTAGGTAGACTATGAAACTCCCTCATATTCCTGTTTGGTTTACATTCACAAGTACGTCTTCTTTCAAAACCACAGTAGTGGGTATTTTGATATAAAACATAAGAGATATAAAGTCTCCACTTGTTTTTTCTTCAGTATTTTCTTTTTTACTTGAAGGCTTTAGTTATGCCATTTAACACTTAGAATTTGAAGGCAGGAAGATGAGGACCCAGCCCTGGCACGGTTGAGACCAGTGTGAGCTGCATGAACGTGTCTCAGAAAATTGTCGGCACGGGGTATGTGTGTGTGTGTGTGTGTGTGTGTGTGTGTGTGTTGGTGTTCTCAAAGGACAGAAAAGGGCATCTGGTCCCCTGGAGCTTGAGTTAGTAAGCCATTTTGAGTAACTCACCATGGCTGCTGTGGATAGAACTGTGATCCACTCCCATAGCACTTAACCTTTGAGCCATTTCTCCAGCCCATTTGTCTTGTTTTGATAGAGGGTCTAGCTGTGTAGCCCAGGCTGGCTGCTCATTCAACATCTTTTGGACTCTTGGTGCCTACTGTTGATGCTTGGGATTGAGCCTACATGTTTTTTTTTTTTTAATTATTCAAACTATGCCCAGGATTAGGAATACTGTGCCACTGAGCTTTACCACCAACCTATGATTTATTTTTAAAATATAGTATTATTTACCATGTACATTATATACCATTTATATTATTTATTTACCATGTATATTATTTACCATGGTATATTATTACCACAGAATTGACTTAGTAGTCTTTATTAGTGGAAATTCTGTTAGCACTAATTTATCAGCTTTTGCATGGAATTATTCGTAAATATTTTGGCTAGTATTTTCTGAGCTTTTCCTTTATAAGCTTGCATAACTCTTGGGAGTTGCTGCTATTCTGAAGCTTCTTTCTGAAAAGTAACTAGTCCTTAAATTCTTCAGATACATTTTTTTTGCGAAATTAGTTTTCTAAAATAAATCATAGACACTACAGTTACATACGTTCTAAATATAATATATGGAGACTACCAGAAAGTATTCCAGGGTTTGGGGGTTTTAAATGACCTTGCATACAAATATTCCTGTACATTGTGAATACTTTCTAAAAATTAGTCTTCTGAAGGAACATTAACAGGAATATTTATTTAATTGTTTATATCTGAAGGAATATTTATTTGTTTATATCTGCTGTCAAATTGTTTTGACATGGAAAGTTTTCGAGGAACATTGGCGGAGAGGTACAATATGTCTATTGAATTAAATGTCTATTGATTGATTTGAAAGTTGTATCTTACTAAGGAAGGAGAGTTTCCTTATAGACTAAAAGTGTGTGATGTATTATCAATGTAAAACGTCATGACTGCTTAAGAATTGCTTATAGAAAAATTCTCTTCAGATGTGTCCTGAATATGTGCTTCCTTAGCATATCAATTTCCTGTTTCAAATTGAACTAATATACTAATCATATGTTATTTTAAAGTTTTTGCAAGCTATCATTTCCTTGAAAGCGTAAAGGTTGGTTTGCTTATATTATATAACAACACAAATTTTTATCTGTAAAGATTGAGAATGGCAAGTCAGGTCAGCCATGTTCTTGCTACTTGACATTATTTCTACATGAGATGAACTTGTAGATTACTTACACGTGTTTAACTTTTTAATTATCTTTTTCTCCTTTTCTTAAAGATGATACTTGTTGATGCCACTGTTCTCATCCTCGTAGCAGAAGATAGTCCTACTGAGAAAATGAGCACTTTGATCATTCAGTCTTTGAACTTTAACCTTTGACTGGAAGTGACCTATAGGCAATGAAGACTACTTCCTTTTACTGCATTTTTACTCGTGTGCATTCTGGGCGCATGTTGATCGCTGGTCCAGTCCAGGCAACTGACATGCTTTTATTAGTCATACAGTATTAATGCAGGTGTTAGGAAATGTCAAATATAATTCCATTTTTTTATTTTTATTTTTTTAAGCTTTTGGAAAAGTTCCAGGTCCTCATGTATTGTGCAATAACAGTGACTTCCTCAGTGGTTTGGGGACGTTCATTGCCGGCAATGGACGTTGTAAAAGGAAGAGTTTTCTTAACTCCTGCCACTTGATGATTAATGCATGATAGGGCCTATGAAATGAATTTATCGGTTGTTGTGGGATTATAAGGAAAGTGAGGAATCCAACATTACATTGAAAGGCACCCCAACTGTTTATACTTGGATTCTATGCACTGTGATCCTAAGGCTAACAGCATGAAATTACATGCGTCTTTAAAGGACCGTAAGAAAGATCATTGAATATTTATTTAATTGCTTATATCTGCTGTCAAATTGTTTTGACATGGAAAGTTTTCGAGGAACATTGGCAGAGAGGTACAATATGTTATCCCTATGGTGAAAATAAATTCATTTGTTGTATATAGTCCTCAATTTCTGAAGTAAAGGTGTGAATAATAGGGTGAGAATGGGTTAACCAAGGCGTTGTTTTGGAAGTAAAAAAAAAAAAAAATGGCAGTGATGATTAAATTACTGCCATCCATCATTTGGGCCTGTTATTATTTTTCCAAGTATATTACACTCTGTTACTTCCTGCTAGCCATCAGCATGAGCCCTATTGCCTAAACACTATTTCATTTATTTATGTTGAGAAAAAAATCCATAAACATTTTTGTTTGTAATCTTGTTTCTTTTGTTGTTTTCAGTTGTTTAAATGTTACAATACTTTAATTGAAAGAATTTTGTCAAGTTTTTTCTTGTAAATTTTCTTTACTTGTATCATCTTGTCCTTCAATACTGTACCCTAAAATAAGAAATACATTTTTGACAGAGGCTTAATGTTTTAACAAAAGAGTGTGGACATTATTATTTTAAGATTTTGGCAAAAGGATACTATAAAAATGATCTGTTTGCTTATTTCTCTCACATATCCATTGTGCAGAGTTTCTTGGAAGAATTTGTTGGTTGAGAAGATTTTGCTTCCAGCTAGATGAAGTTTTTCTGCTTGTCTCTGCTTTTATATCTATCTATCTATCTATCTATCTATCTATCTATCTATCTATCTATCTGTCTGTCTGTCTGTCTGTCTGTCTGTCTGTCTGTCTATCTATCTATCATCTGTCTATCTATCTATCTATCTATCTATCTATCATCTATCATCTGTCTATCTATCATCTGTCTATCTATCTATCATCTGTCTATCTATCTATCTATCTATCTATCTATCTATCTATCAATCATCTCTCTCTGTGATCTGTAAAACAGTTGTTGGGAAGATTCCATCCGAAGTACCATGTACCATGTAATGATGCTACAACTAGGTCTTTTTAAGAAGCGATTAATGTATTTTATAAATTACCTTTTCACATATGCAAGGTCTGTTTCTATGACAATGTTATTTTTACTAATGCCTTATTGTTGCACTCTTTTTGAATATCTTGCAGTGAATATATTAATCAATTTGGGCTTAAAAATAAAAGCCAGTTGGCTGAAAGGTCTGACAGTATGTAACCCCATAAAAGTCATTCAATTGATAATTGGTAAAGAATATTTTAAAAATTGTTTTTAATCTCTGTGTAGATGACATTTTGTAGCTTTGTACATGTTGTTAATTAAGGGCATATAATTTTACACTCTATAACTGATGAACTCTCAGGGGTGGGTAGACTTTAAAACTATGTCTGCTGTAGAAATAACTTGAAAAAATAATTAAACCGTGGCCAGCCACCAAATTGTAGACACTGTTTATACTACTAGGGAGCACTCCTCACTTTTTAAAGACTGTAAACATTTTCTTCTGTCTTGACTGCATGTATGTGCCTAAGTTCCCACAGTGATCATTGTCACTTTTATTGGTTGGCCTACTTAACATGAAAGAAATCTTTACAGTCTTAGTTTTTCTTTGCTTTTAAGATGAAACTACAGCTGTAAATTAGGTTTGTGTCACTGCTCTTAAATACTAACTCTCTTTGTCAGGGGGCGGGGCACAGGGAGAAATGCTTACCTATTACTGGTCATCTTACTAAATTCCTGCCTGTGACATCATTCACCAAAGGAATTACTACACCAAGTCAAGCAGATAACAGTGCTGTAGTATAGGTTACTAGCTTCAGTTGTGTTTTGTAACAGTGCTTTAATACACCTTTCTATGAACAGACACTACAGAAGAGACTCAAATGAAATGGGAAATAGTGAAAAACCAAACACTTTTACTTCATTTTCGGATCCAAGTAAAGAAATTAAAAAATATACCTAAAATATAGGAGCATCAACTATTAATAATTCATAATTAGATTAATATTACTCCTTTGAATTTAGGAGCCACTGGAAATTCTTTTACATTTGCATTTAATTATTTGCCTTTGTTAAAAGTCATAAGACTTGTATCTGGGTCATTGTTCAGTTGAGGGCTAATTATTATTTTTATTTATTTATTTATTTATTTTGTTTTTTTGAGACAGGGTTTCTCTGTATAGCCCTGGCTATCCTGGAACTCACTCTGTAGACCAGGCTGGCCTTGAACTCAGAAATACGCCTGCCTCTGCCTCCCAAGTGCTGGAATTAAAGGTGTGTGCCACCACTGCCCAGCATTTTTTTTTAAAATATATATTTATTTCTTTTATGTATATGACTATACTGTAGCTGTCTTCATAGACCAGAAGAGGGCATCGGATTCCATTACAGATGGTTGTGAGCCACCATGTGGTTGCTGGGAATTGAACTCATGACCTCTAGAAGAACAGTCAGTGCTCTTAACTGCTGAGCCATCTCTGCAGCCCGAGGGCTAATTATAAAACAAATATTTTGCTGTAATGCTATTGAAAGAGAGCCAGAATCATAAGAAACATATATGAAATTTGCTGAGTTCATCCCTCCTTCCTGCATCCTCCTTTAAATACTAGCCTGCAACATTATATTTTCATATTTAGGGGCTGTGTTTATGTGTGTGTGTGTGTCTGTCTGTCTGTCTGTGTGTGTGTCTCCCTTCTCTTCCTCTTCCTCCTCCTCCTCTTTTTCTTCCTCCTCCTCTTCTTCCTCTTCTTCCTCTTCCTCCTCCTTCTCTCTCTCTCTGTCTCTCTCTTTCTCTCCTCTCTCTCATACATACACATTTATTTTAGGCTGCTCTCTTGTTTTGTCAAATTTTGTCAAGATGATACAGGCAGTTCCTTGTTTTTGCAGTTATGAACTTGATGCCCTTCCAAATACAGACAAATGCTGTATATAGGTTTTATGGAGAGAGGTTAGTTTCAGCTTTGTGGGTGTTCTCTTAGGGAGTTTATATTTACTTCTAAAGAACTGATATATGTAATTCTTTTTAGCTAGTGGGGAAATAAGCTTTTTTTTTTAATGTCCTAGGAGAAAGGGATGACAGCTTATATGTAGTCAGCAATTCCACTGGAAAAAGACCATAATCTTTGTTGCTTTGACTTGGTATGTAGACACATGTTACTAAGTGAATGGGGTGGTTTACTATTTTCCCTTTCTGAATTTTAAATGCATGCAAATACTTACATACATACATACATACATACATATATATATATGCATATATATTATATAATATATATATATTATATATATATTATATATATATATCATAATATTATTTCAGGCTTGGGTTGCTGGATAGTTCTGTGATCTGCTAAGTAAGGTATATATATATTACCAACATTGATAATCACTTCTGGAGATCCTAAACCAGGTATCTGGAGACTGGTTTCATCAAAGGTAAATTGACAGTAAAGGAAATGATCAGTGAGATGAAAATGGTATGTAAATGTGTTATTTCTGGTAATGAAGTCTTTTTTAAAGCCTGTGGTTTTTGAGAATTGCGATATTTAAAACTTCCTAGGAGTAGAGGAGAAGATGAGATACCATATATTCAAAAGTTTTTTTTTTTTTAATTAAAAATAATTGAGTGTCTTAGCTAGGTCTCAGCTTTCATGGTTACTGCTGCTTATTTTTCTCATTTTTATGTTTTTATTTTTTATATATCTTAGCCAAAAGCTTAAAGTTTATAATTATGTTTAATTGTATATGCATGTAAATTGGTTTTAAAACATACCTCTCTGAAGATCCATTATTCAAGTGCTGCAGAGTTGAGGGTGCACTAACCGGCACCCGCTCCTGCGGCTGCGCTGTGCTGCTCCAGCCAGACTTCTGATACCTCTGTATGGTTGCAGTCTGGGAAGCTGTCTGCTGCAGCAGCTGCCTCTACCCTTGTTACCGTCCTTCTCAGGTTTCTGCCCCACCTTTCTGTCACTTCTTACCACCTCTTCTTTTCTCATAGATGCTCAATGTCTTCTCATTTACTTTTCTGACTTACAAGTTTGTTTTTTATTTTTGTTGAAGGTTAGGGAATCTAAAGAAGAAAAATTGTTAAAATTACATCAGGGTTTTTTTGTTTTTTGTTTGTTTGTTTGTTTGTTTTTTGGTTTCGATTTTGGTTTTGGTTTTTCAAGACAAAAGTTTCTCTGAGTAGCCCTGGCTGTCTGTTGACCAAGTTGGCCTCAAACTCACAGAGATTCATCTGCCTCTGTCTTCCAAGTGTTGGGATTAAAGATGTGAGCCATCACCACCCAGATACATCTGACATTTTTAAGAAATTAAAAAAATACCTTCTATAAATAAGATATATGAGTGTGTGTGTCAGGGGTTTTACCTAACTTCATTTCATCAGCAGATAGCTAAATTTATGAATAATTGACAAAACTACAAAACTAAGCTATGAACTGTTGTTGAATTTCTTTGGTAGTAATATAGAGGGATTTGTATTTGTTTCCTTTTAGATAGAGACTCTTTCAGAATCTCTTATTTATCAAGTGAATTAAAATGTGGTAAAATTATTTGTGAGTGACTTTTCCTCAATAAAAATTGTTCATTAACTCAGACAGGATTTTAGGCATCATTATCTTTAGAGGCACATAGAATCTGAACATTTCAAGTTTGGCTTGCTGTATAGTTCTGTGATCTGCTAAGTAAGGTATTAGTTGTAATTTCAGTTCTCAGATTTATTGTTGATATGTTTGGTGATGAGTCTCTGATTATATGATTGTTTTAAATACTTCTGTTGATAAAGTTATAGTTATGCTGAGCTGCTTTGGCTGTGAGCAGGAATGCCTGAGTAGATACATCTCCAGCCCTCGCTCAGGACTTCGACACACTTGGGAAGAGTGCCTGGGAAAAGAATGTTGGTTCTTGCTCTTTGTTGGTGCACACACAGTCTGGATTTTCAGGACTAGTTGATGCAATCATGTAAGTTGTTTTCTCAAAGACAAAACGTACTGAAAATGTCTTCTGGACTTTCTGAGACATAACTTGTCTCTGGTCTATGGAAAGACTGAAAACTCCACTGTCTGAAAGCCAGAAACAAGACTGTGAAGGGACTCTGAGATTCTTATCAGATACCACGAAGGTGCAAGTCTCTTCATAATGACAAAGCATTAGATAGATGCAGGTTGTCAGCATAAGGTTAAAGAACTATTTGGGTAGATTATTGAATTATTTAGTACTTAAGAATTAAGTACATGTTCAGGTCAGATTGAATCTGTTCAATTTTGTTATTGCCATATTCTTTTGGTAATCACAGTTGAGATTGTGCTTTTGACTAGGAATGGAAAGCTCATGCTTAAGGGTTTGAATAGGGTGGGTATATATATTTTATAAGTATAAATTACAAAAA